AATTGGAGGATTGGAGTCTTTTAATGCAATATTTACTAAAGTGGCAGAAAAGTATGGGTTTAGTATACTAACAAAAATAATGCAGAGAATGAAAGAAGACTGCGTAAACCCAAATGCATTAACAATCTTAAATAACATTTGGTTTATGTGGTTATGTCGTGCTTGTGCGAATACAGAGTATAATCCCATGATTGTTAATCTTATTTATACACACTTAGATCCTATACGTGTCTGTAATAGATATATAGCCCAAAATGCTATTTTAATAAAAAATATGTCTAGAGAGGTTTTATCTGCCCTAGAAAAAGAGAAAGAGTCACTTTGCATTGAAAACAGCCCCGTGAGTAAAGAAAAGTATGACAAGCTCACAAGTATTTTCAAGCCCAGGCTTGACACTGAAATGAGCGGATTAAGTTTATCTGAAATGTCTTCTAGGAAAAGAAATATTCATGGAAATCCAGTATAATTTATTATTATATTGCTATTATAGAATTTTAGGATTTCTATATTGTAAGGAAATATTTTAGCCCCTGTCATATGAATAAAGAGAATAAGCCTAGTTGATTTCTTAGAAAAAGTCATTAAGATACTTTAATGATTATTGAAAATGTAACTCTATTTATAGCTGTGTTCCTTATTTTGTTTTGTATTGAACGTGCACCTTGTCAACAACCCAAACAATGTTATATTTGCGTATTTGTTGTTGCGTTAACCACTTATCAATGTAACCCGAATAACCCGAAGGCCTATGCTAGTCTTAGCATACAACAGTAAGTACAACCACAATATTATTTACATATGCTGGCTTTTTAGAATACTTGAGTCAAATTGGGGGTTTTTCAAAGTACATGATATTAAGCCACTGTACACACATATAGACCCGTCCAGTCTTTCAGACGAGTTTGTGGATGTTTTGGGTGACTGTCTGACCCCAGAGAATGCCAGGTCTGTTATAAAGTTTTTAGAAAAGAATAAATTAAGATTATACGGCAGCACGGATGAAAAGGAGTGCGAAAAGAAGCACCGGGCAATAGTATCTCTCTTTAGAAAGTGTACTACAAAAAAGCAGCCGGTAATAAATAAATAATGCTTAGTCATACACACTGCAAGTATGTAAAGTATATAATATGTGCATATAACAGCCAGTTCATACTCCATCACAGTGTCTGGGTTATTAAGGCATGTTTTAATTATGTGTGGTGTGTGTTTGTGTAGTAGTCTGTTTGTGGTGTGATGTGTAGTTATGTGTGGTGGATTAACTGTGTGATGTATTATAATTGGATATATTTATATAAGAGCAAATAAATAAACTTAAAATAAATTGTATAATAATATTTTTATTAGTGTACGTGTTACATATTGAATTGTTATATCTTTTATATAAACAGAATACTAAAAATAAAAAGAGAAAAGAGAAAGGAGAAGAGAAAGAAAAGAGAAGAAAGAAGAAAGGAAGGAAGGAATGGGTAGAGATGGAGACTAAACAGAAAGAGAACAAATGAGGAGATATAACCCGAAGTGTGTATTAAAGAGTGTGGAAGTATATTTAATCCAAAGAGCCAATGTGTTATTGTAAATATTGCTATACTATGAAACATACGAATCAAATAGTGTACCAATCAAATAATGACCAATTAATTAGGCGAAGTTGATTTGATCAATCAATACAACGGAGAACAGTATTTGATTAGTCCGTTAAGAGAAGAAAAATAACCAATTAATTGAAAGACTCCTCTAAATTAAAATATAAATATAAAAATAAAAGATTGTTAATTAGATGAAATTAGAAAAAACGAATCGGGTAATAAAAAATATTTTTTTATTCCCAGAATGAAAAACCGTATGATCATAAAGCTACTAGTGATGATGTACACAGTGTGTGCAAGACTAGAGCTCAGTGACATAAAAACAGTATTAGAAAGTTCGCTTAATATAGATAAAAACACAATAATTAATCACAATGGACCGCTAAACCCACTCAGAACGTACATCATGCACAAGAGCAGTTATATGTACAACAAGCGGATGTTTTCACAGGAAATAAATACTGATTATAGTCTGAAGAAAAGTGCAAAATCAACAGAGAATGAGCATTTCTATATATATACCAGAAACCCAGAAAATGATAATGCATATAAATGTAATATTCCTAGGCGTAGATATACCCCTAATTATTTATATTACTACCACAAAACAATGATTTATATGTTTCCGTGTGAAAATAATAATCTTTCTATTGAGCCATGTAGAAACGACTCTTTCACACGATTTCTAAGAGCGCACTGCAACGAGGTGGACAGTCTGTATCTTCTTGCTGCACTGCTGCTTCTTTCAGAGGGTATTGATGTTCCTATTGCTATAGAAAAAAATATACATAGTGGTGAGAGAATACTTTTAAAATTTGATTTTGACGAATTTTCCTTTATTGACCTGCCTTTATGGTTGGAAAGCATAGTGCCCAAAGAGGCAGATCAGCAGATGCACGATGCAAACAGTGTATCAGAAGACATTGATCTATACATACGCCAGGAGAATATTATGCATGAAGTGGAAAGAATGATGGTATACCAGAAGGAAGCAGAAAAGATTGTGCAGTTTTTTAAGAGTCTGTGTATAGAGCCTTTTTTATCTGATTTAGAAAAGTGTAGAGAACCAGAAACACAAAGTAATTTTAATCTGGGTTATTTTCTTGACAGTCCAGGATTCCTTATACAATCTTATATTTTTGAGTACATAGACAATGTAGAGCAGTACAAGCTGTTTTTAGACAGTGTACATATGTTGCTACAGAAATTATTATACTACATGGAAACAAAACCATCAGAGCAACAAAAAAACTTGATTAAGGAAATTATAGATTATTACTTTATAGATAAGAACGGTTTATATGAAGATATGCACCTAAATCATATTATAGACATGTGCAGCCTAAAATATAAAATAGACAGATCTTCAATTCTTCCATTCACAAGTATAGAAATGGTACCTTCCTACACCCGTGTGCCAGAGAATGAATACAATCCAGAGAGCATAGAGGACTTTGTACAAGACGAGACATTACAGTACAGTGACCATGTGGAGACAATGCTTTTGAATCTGTTCATGTGTCTTACATACAATCCAGAAACCAATCTATGTTCAACTGAGTATATGCACGGTGCCTCTGTAGGCCTAAAAGTATTTTTTAATAAATATTCAGTACCCACAGAGAGTGCAAGCCAGGAAAAACACAGAGACTGGTGCAAAGTTGTATCAAGGTTGAACAATCCAAACATTAGGTATGTAAGAGAGAGTAGAACAGAGCTGTGTGGTGGGCTAGAGAACATTATATATGTGATATATGAGCTATTTAGTGAAAATATTAATATAAGAGCTGCTATAGAAGGTACAATTAACAGTTCACACAATAGAAGGGCAGAAAGAGTAGAGAGCATAAAAGAATTGTTTTTAAATATTCTTACTTGTCTCGCCACTAGTCACAAAATCAGTATTGAATCATCAGAGCTAGAATACTTACTTACTGAGAATCTGATATTTGGTATGTTTGGAAGCATTGTACTCGGTTTTGAGGCTAAGGGTAAAAAAGAAAGTATAAAACTAGATATTTTGTCTAAGTATTCTAAATTTTCTCTTGTGTCTGATTTCAGTGCCTTTTCAGAAGATGCAAAAAACAAGCTAGTGGATATGCAAAGAAAATATAATTATACAAGAAATTATATTGAAAGAATTATTTGGAATTATTTAAATAATAGCATAGAACGGCTTAATAAAAAACTGCCAGCTCAAAACTACAGTGCAGTTGTTGGCATGATAGCTAAAATCGGGTCGACGCCAAACTATATTTTCTTATGTGGGCGTATAAACTCTTTATTGTATAAAATGTCGATTATAAATTATCGTTTAATATATAGTAATATAAAAAAATTGACAAAGAGCAATCAAATATTACGGATTACATCAAATATTATAGGGAGTGTTCGTCTTGATAATCCAAGAGAAAGAAAGATGATTTTACTAACCCCATTTATATGCAATTGTAACCATAAAGAATACTTTCCAAGCATTGAATATAATACAGATAATCTTCCCATATCAGAGTTTGGAGTTGTTGATGTCAGAAACGCACTAAGTGTTTTAATAGATATAAGCGAAACAGAGGACTCCTTTCAAAACTCTTTCCAATGTATATTGGCACATGCTATTTTCAATAGGGAATTATTTGGCATATTTGAATCATATAGGTCATTTGAAATAATGTGCATTAACCTAGTTAAAAAGTATAAGCTTGTAACATTAACATGGACATTACAGCGTATAAAATCATCCAGAATAGATCATAATAATGTGTTAGATGAGATTTGTTTCTTATGGCTATCATATGCATGCATAAATACCCCATATAATTTAGAAGTAATTTATCATCTATATACAAACATAGATCCATTGAAGATTACCAGCAGGTGTATAGCGCATATGACAAGTATAAGAGGAATGGACTTTAATCGTATTTTGATGGTTCTTGAGAAAGAAAAAGGCTCGCTGGTTTTAGAGACGAATGCAGAAAGTATAGAAAAATACGAAAGAATAAAAAAACATTTTCAAAGCTGTGCTACGTCTGTAGTTCCTGAAGGTTCTTCAATCAATCCAATTACTATATGAACAAGAAAGCACTCAAATGAGTAGACGGTACTTCTATTGCAGTTTTTATAAGCACATATATATATATATATTATAAAACCAAAATTATTATTAATTAGACTGGAGTGTAGTATATATTGTGTACATTCAATAAATAACTGGATTTATATAGTTTACTATTTATATGGCTAGGGCATTGTACTCTATTGTGTACTCATTAATGTATGCAGTTAAGGATAGCATTGGCAGATATTTCTTTTGTAATATACTTAACAATTCGAGTTATACCACGGCAAAGGTCTATAATAAGTAAGTTTTGATTATTGTCCACTGGAATCTTATTTTTATTTCTATATAATTTCAAAGCACTCTTACAAATACTAAAGAGAATAATGCAATGCAAAAAGTAAAAATATTAATAGGCCATGCTATTATATATAAATATATATAATTTAGGATTTCTATATTTTAAGGAAATATTTTAACCTCTGTCGTATGAATAAAGAACATAAGTCTTATAAGTCAGTTTCACTTCCAGATAGAATAATAAAAAGAAAAAAGAAAGAAATAATAAAAAGAAGGGAGAAGAGAAGAGAGAAGGGAGGAATGGGTAGAGAACAAATAAGAAGATAGAAGGCAAAGTGTGTATTAAAGAGTGTAGCAGTATATTTAATCCAGACAATCAATCTTATTGTAGTATAGCTGGAATAAATTAGATGAGCATTTAAATAGGAGATGGTATGAATTGCAATAAGTAACCAATCAAAGAATAGTTCGTG